CAAAAAAATATACGTATTTTGGAAATGTTGAGTCGAATTAGTCTAGAATCGATTAATTTTATGAAAGAAAACCTTTCAAACAGCCGTAGTCCGTAAACTATGATTCCTACAAAATTGATTCATAAAGAACGGAACGTATCTACCGTCTTATAGGGGGATCTACTGTAGTTAATGTTTTGTCTTGTTATATCTTCAGTCTCTATTTTAAATTTTATTGCTTTATGTATACTATTTGTCTGCTTATTAATTTCTTCTATCTGAATTTCTGTTTCGTCATATATTATTAGGATGTCGTCAACGTATCTTTTGTAGAATTTTATTCCTGGTATGTTATATATTACATTATCTATGTCTATCATAATTAATTCGGCAAGTTTCGGGCCGATTATGGATCCCATACTTATCCCATCTGTCTGAGTATAGTATTCTCTGTTGGTTTCGAAATAGTTACTTCTGTATGTAAATTCTATTAATTCTATTATTTCTTTGTTGACATCTAGGTTATTAGATTCTATTAGATTCCAAGTTATTGATGGGTACATATCAACTATGTCGAGGCTTGCTATTCTATACTTTTCTTCTATATTGATTCTGTTTAGTTCTTTTATAAGTTCGTCTGCATTTTTAATTGCAAGGTGCGAGTTGTGGTAGTTTTTAAGCTTTTGTTTTAGAAAGTTTTCTAGATTATATAACGTTGAATATTTAAAATCTATTATTGGTCTTACTTTTTCTCCTGTCTTGTACATTTTAAGTTTTATATTTAGTTTTGGTATATGGTTATTTTCTTCATTTAGTATGAACCATTTTCCTGTTTTAGTAATCTTGTTAAGTTTTTCGAGTTTATTAATTCTTTTCTTAAGTTCTAAATGTATTACGTCTATAGGGTTTATAGATAGCTTTTTAAAATTATTATTGGTTACAATTTCTTGTTTTTTATTTCTTGTCCATTCTTGGTTAACTATTACTGTTTGTTTTGATTTGTCAGCTTTAATAATTTCTAATGCGTTATNTAACGTTGAATATTTAAAATCTATTATTGGTCTTACTTTTTCTCCTGTCTTGTACATTTTAAGTTTTATATTTAGTTTTGGTATATGGTTATTTTCTTCATTTAGTATGAACCATTTTCCTGTTTTAGTAATCTTGTTAAGTTTTTCGAGTTTATTAATTCTTTTCTTAAGTTCTAAATGTATTACGTCTATAGGGTTTATAGATAGCTTTTTAAAATTATTATTGGTTACAATTTCTTGTTTTTTATTTCTTGTCCATTCTTGGTTAACTATTACTGTTTGTTTTGATTTGTCAGCTTTAATAATTTCTAATGCGTTATCTCTTAGAAAGTTATTCAGCTCTTGGATTTGAGTCTCATATTGAAGATAGCTTGGTTCTTTTATTATTTTTTCTTGGTTCTTGGAACTTTATTTTTATTGGTTCTTTTATTATTGGTTTACTACACCACAAATATAAAATAGGACACGGTTTCAAAAAACAAATAAAAAAAAATTGAAATGATTAAATCAACTTAACAGTTATATAAATAGTAAATTAATTTAAATAAAAATTGTCTTTGCACTGTTTTAGTACAAAAACAGAAACTAAGGACTCTAATGAAAAAAGCAATGTAATTAATGAAGTTTAGAAACTATATCATTGCAATAACTATCTTTATCCTATTTCTGTTTATTATTATTATTATTTAATAAAGATATTTTTAAAAAAGTTTTAAACCAAGACTTATGAAAAAGCACTGATTAAATAATCTAATATCTTGGATATATTATACAAAACTTACTTTATACTAATAAGTACTGTATAATTATATGTAAAATTATAAAATTTATAGAACTATATTATTAAAACATACTTGTAACTTTTCGGCAATTGTATCCCAATCTTTATACTGATATCTTTCAGCAATACTCAGTAAGGATTTCTTTTCAGCCTCTGTCCATTTTTCTTTGTTAATTGATGGATGAACTAAATTATTCCACATTAATTCACATTCTTCTGGTTGTCTGGTACCATTTAACTAAAATTAATTTTTTCAATTATTATATTTGCTTGTAATATAACAAAAAAATAAATAATAAAACATAAATTATTATAGTAAAACTACTGTAGTTATACATATGAAGAGTTCAGATATAGAAGATAGTAAGCACCATAATGGACATTTAGAGAAAAATGGAAAAATTAAACATCTTAAGTTATCTGCTTTGTTTTTGTTTACATTATAGTTAAAAATACATGTAATACTTAAATTGAAATACATTTCTGTTTAGCAATTAGTGTGTATTACAACATAATAATGGAAACCATCTTTTACACCCAAACCTTCATATTATATATAAAATTTTTAAATAAAAAATCTATAAGCATTAATGCATTTGTATATAAACATTCTTTTAACTTCGTGAAGTTTTTAAACATAACAGAGAAGCACAATTATATTTTTATATTAATATATATAATAAAACTTTGATAACAAATACACTAATATGTAAATTTATTAATAATATAACTAAAATAACACATAAGCACAAAATAATATTTTGAAATGATTATGTTAAAACACTATCAATAATTGTGAATACATTTATCAATATGAGTTTTTCCTTATAAAACNTTTTCTGGACTTTATATGTGTCAATTGGCCATTGTTAATCCTCTGAGTGCTAAATGCTCTAAATGTGCTCTAAATGCATTCCTCGCAAACTGTTTTAGATTTTTTAACATAAATTTAAAAAACATGACAAATAATTTTTATATTAGTTCCACTACATACAATTAATAAAAGATAACGTGCTAATTTACTATATTTGAATAATATGATAATCTGTATTTGTTTAATTAGTGCAATAACTATCTGATTGAACAGAAAGTTCTCACACTTTTTGGAACTTTCTAGAATAACTTTTTTCTGGAACATTCTGGAATGTTCTATGTAGTATATAAACAGGTCGGGGTACGTGCTATAAGAAAATACCAAATCCAGTCCTCTCACTCTACTTTACCATGACCAACCAACATCTGCAAACCATAGAGCAAGTTTGCCTGTTCCTCATTTATGACTATTGCTCCGAAAAAAAGCAGCCAATTCTATCACTGACATCAATGCTGCATTAGGCCTGGACACTGTCGCCAAAAGAACTGCATACGATTGGTACGAATGCTTCAAAAGTGGAGATCCCTAACCCAAGAAGATCATGCTCTCTGTCTTCTGGGATTCTAAAGGAATCATCACGTTCAAGTTGCTGCCACAAAATATAACCATCAACGCAACTTTCTACAGAAAACAACTCGACGTCTGCAGAAACTGGCAGAGATCCGCCTGAAACACTGGAGAACGCCTGGAGCAGAGACCCACCTGGAATGCCATCCTGCTGCATGACAATGGACAGCCACATACAGTTAGACAGACCTGCCAGAAGCTACTGACCTGAACTGAGAGGTCTTGCCCCATCTGCCATATAGCCCCAACATTGCATCTTCGGATTATCACCTGTTCGCCGCGCTCAACCATTATCTGGCTGGCAAGGAGTTCAACAATGAAGCTGACTTGGAGGCCAGCCTGACCAACTTCTTTGAGTCGCAGCTGCTACAGTTTTATCGAGATGGCATCATTCCTTGCATAAGCATTGGCAGGAAGTGGTCAACAACAATGGTGATTACATTGATGATTGAAGTCAATTCTGTACATAAAATTTTCTTGGCTAAATGAAATATGTCCAAAAGTGCAAGAACTTTCTGTTCAATCAGATAGTAATGCATTTTTAAAAAATTATACAGGTATACCTTGCCTTACACTGGTAATTGGTTCCAGGAGAGATGACATATGTCGAATTTACTTGTCTCCAAATCTACTTGTCACTAGGCTAAACCATAAATTACCATTCCTGGTTCTGTATTTTATTTATTAATGCATTTTTAATAATATATGGTTAATAAGGATCTATTTTAAGCTTACAAACAAATAAATTTTAGTTTTTAATATAGTACAGAAAAAAGTCATCTAAATTTACAAATTCATGTACAGTACTGTAAATACAGTACATACTTGTAAATGTATATATTTTAATATGATTTTATGTGCTTTAAACGCTTTTCTAGTGATATTACAAATTCAATATTTGTGGCAAACAGACATAAAGTCGAATAAAATGACTTAAACTTGATTTTTATTTTTCCATATACTTTTTTGACAAACAACGTATAATCGGAAACGACATAACTCGAAACGAGTTATGTCGTTTCGAGTTATGAGGTTGAGGTATACCTGTATATGTAAGTTCAGTATACCTGTATATTGTAATTGAGTAAGTTGTTGGTATACCTGTATATAGAAATTCTATGATGATTTACTCAAAGATTTTAAATAATCTGCAGCATTCCATAAACTATTCAAATCAATTAAATAATATACTGAATGGAACTAAAGCAATAAAAATTTAAAATAATTATTTGATCATTTGAAATACAGTATAATGCGGGTTCAAATAATGCAGATTCGTATATTGCAGCGAAAAAATTGCAACCGTATTCATATAAGGACGCTAAAAGAGACTCGTAAAATGTGGTAAAATGTCATTGCAATAGTGAACAAGCAGCTGAACTACTTTCTGCCGTTCAGTGCCATGCTATGGAGATTTTAGGTGGGTAAGTTGAGTTTTCTATCATCTGTACAGTATTATATTTAAATTATATATAAATTAAGTACTGTATATATAATTATATATAAATTAGGTTTATATATATAAATATAGGCTTGTATATATAAATTATATATATTTGTAAGTCTAATACAGTACTGTAATTTTATAATTTTTACGTTATCTAAAATTTTCACTATGGAGATTTTAAGCAGGTAAGTTGAGTTTACTATCGTCTGTACAGTATATAGGCCTAAATTAGGTACTGTAAGTCTAATACAGCACTACAATTTTATACATTTCTTGTGAAAAAAACATTTCTTATTCAATGGCCATTAAAATTATTTCTATTAATGATGTCTCTAAAGTTCAACAAATTTTTTGCAGAAAAATAACTTATCAGAAAACGTGGCCACTGTTTGGTGCACTGCTCTGCGACGAAAACAAGCTTAAGTAATGGCGTCGTCGAATGGTGCACACTTGGTAAGTAATCCTACAATTTTTTGTTTATAGCCTAGTTTATACGGATTATTCCCAAAAAATTATACATTAATTTGACTTGAACATTTCCAAATTGTCTAGAATTGATTAATTTTATGGAAGAAAACCTTTCAAACAGCCATAGTCCGTAAACTTC